CCCCCCCCGACCCCTCAAGATATGGGTAAATAGCAGGACAAGCCGGTTTCTATAGCCTTGGATGGCAACTGGTCTACTGCAGAAAGAAATAGTAACCTACTTTCGAGAAAGAAATCCGCCTCGTCAGTCATGTATCGATAGATACATGTCGCCGAAGCGTGTGTCACACATAGCACATAACTGACTGACAGACAGACATTTAATATTAAACTGAAGGCAAGTGGAACCTGAAGATAACGTACTTAATGGATTGAAAAATAATTACAATGGGATGTTAAATTAATTACAAAAACAAAAGTAGGAAGTTGTGGAGAGTATGATCTCCTACGTCCTGATTTGGAGATAAAAATATGTTGGGTTCATTGTTTTGGGGTTTATTAATATGATCTTCGATAATATAAAACTTTCTAATACCATAGAAAGTATAGCTCGTCAACTTTATAGTCACACACCATATATATGTATATATATATATATATATATTTATTTTGTGTATTTAGGCAGCAATCTAATATACATTATTTACTTTTGGACGATTGCCATTTCCGTCGAATTTCAATGCCTAAAAATCACAAAAGATAGTATAAGAAAAACAATTATAAAACTGTATGGGCTCGTCCGGGATTTGAACCCGGGACCTCTCGCACCCAAAGCGAGAATCATACCCCTAGACCAACGAGCCATGATAGGTGATAGGTCCTATAATATCAAATTATAGTAAATCAAAATGAGGTCCGTTTGACTGATTGATGATTATTTTTGATAGTCGAGCTTAACAACGAAATCTTTGGCATTTCAAATTGTGATATCCCTGACATGTGTACTTGACTCGAAATCGAAAACATCTTCAAATCAGAGACAGAGTTATAAAATTCGTGCGATACTTGCTCTTTCTTCACGAGCTGATCGACAATGTTCGAATCTTATTTTTGAAATTTTACTCGCACCGAAATATAATAAAACGGTCATTTTGCGGCAAATATATGTTGAAATCGCGTCGGGGTTGCTTAACTGTTGATGAATGTTCAAATCACATCGACGGTCACGCTAATGTTGTTGGTACTGCTCCTAGGTAGACTAAAAAAGCAGTGGCAAAAATACTTGTAAAATTGCAGAAACCAATTTTTAAAAAAAAGCATAATTCCTATTGTAAAAAAAAAAAGTCTGATTATTCCAAAAATAGCATTAAAAATTTGCCTAAACCTACCGTTTAGGAGATATTAATAATATTAGTTGGGTCTTATTTTTCTTTCAGAACATATTCATAAATGGATGAAATTATTTAAAAAAAAAATTTTTTTTTAGAAAATCTTGTTACAGTTTTTTTTTACATCTCATAAACAGTAGAGTTTCCTCAAATTTTAATCAGGCTTTTTTTTTTTTTTACAACAGGAATATTTAATTTGATTATCCAGTAAATGTGTAAATTTTCCCGAGGTAATCGAGGCCAGCGTGCAGTAAGCGAGAAGGTCAGCGTGCAGTAATCTAGTCCCGTAAGTGCGACCGTGCTGTATCCAGGACCCAGGATTGCGGTAGATAACCAGTTTTTAGTTTTTATTCTTTTTAACACCTTTCATTCTTTTATGTTTTTTTTTATTTAAATTGGTCTGCAGGACCAGTAATGGCGGCCGGGCTGTAACCGAGACACAAATAAGGCACAACTAAAATTGTCAATATCATCTAAACGGTAGGTTTCCGCAAATTTTTAATGCAATTTTTGTAATAATCAGGCTTTTTTTACACCAGGAATGATGCTTTTTATTTAAATTGGTTTCTGGGTCGTAATCTGCAATCTTGCCAATGGCGATATTTTATATATTTTAGTGTTTATATAACTGAGTAACAAAGGAGAGGAAATACATGAGTATGCATGTAAAAGAAAACATTAACAAGCTGTGTGAAAAAGGTTCATTCATTAAGGAAACAGTAATCCTTATTTGCGGTGAGGACTCGGTTGGTCACTTCTACTGCATGCTAGAAGGAAAAAGAGAGAGTGATAGAGAGAGCAGGAGAGTTGTCCCGTTTTTATAGGTGATGGGTAGCGCCCTCTAACAACATCTTGGCGAAACTGGCATAGTTATGAGGGAATAACCCACAGATTTTAAAATTAGGCAAAATTGAATTCGTTATTTTAGTGAAATAAGGAATTCTAAGATGGACTAATATTTGAAAGATGTAGTATCTCGACCATGTCTAATGGATGTCAGTTATCAGTTATCTCCTGTTAATTCCCCCCTCCAAGTTCTCCACCGCCTTAACCAGGTATTGAAGATAGTCAGTCACCCCGCCCACCGCCCACGAGGGCGTCATGTGCCACAAGGCCTTTTTAACGTGGGATCTCCGTGCCCGTGGGATCTCCGAGCCCGTGGGATCTCCGAGCCCGTGGGCTCGGGCAAAAATATGTCCATTGAACCCGTATAAACGGGTTCAGGGTCGGTTTACCTCCCCGAAGGAGAATCCGTCCTTCGACGTAGCCTCCTTCGGGTTCCTCCCCGCCCAAAGGCAGAGAGTTCAACCGATCAGACAGTCGACTGACTGACCGATTGAACTCACACTCTTTGGGTCCTCTTACTGGATATAACTAACGCCTTTATCCACTGTGCCATGTGTCCTTGATAATTGACATCCATTAGACATGGCACGTGGAACTAGAATAGTCTACCCCAGCGAGCGAAATAAAGGATTCAGTTCGACGTTCCAACCACCTGAAGAAGGCCGGAGCGTACAACGGCCGAAACGTTGTGATAAATACGGCAACAAAGATGAGGATGATAATCCGAACAATGTAAATAGTGTACATAATACCTCATCTCAGAAATATAGACAGATACTAAAGGTGACTGTTATTTGTAATTTTACGGACTTGTAAGAGACTTAAGGAAATAGAAATGTGGTTCTACAGAAGGATAGTGAGAATACCATGATCTGAAGTACCGGAGATGTTTTAAGGAAAATTGAAACAAAATGTACACTTATATTTAGAGAGTTGAAATTTATAGGACACATAATGAAGATGGAGGACCTGGAGACTTTGACACTCATGATAGGTAAAGAGGGCCAGGGGAAGGCAGCGGGTAATCTACCTGACGAGCTTCTGTAAATGGATGGTAGGACAGGGATTGGGAAAGATAACGAAAAGACAAACCTTAGTAAGGGTTACAAGGGATAGAAAGTTGTGGGGAGCCATGATCACCGACGTTCAGAAGCGACACGACACATAGTAGAAGTTATTACACATCTGTTGATTGGTGATTTGTTTTTTTTACGACTTATCAACCCTTTGCACAATTTAATTAGTAAAAACAAAATCAGTGCGATTTCTCATCTTTAACATGAGATGTTTGTATATAAGCATACCCTATCTGCTCAGGTCCATTTGTGTTTCTTCAATACCCACGGAACCAACCCATGGTTTATACTGCAACTATGATGATCAGACCGTAGTTACATACGTTTTTATGTAGAGTTGTCCTTCTCCCATGCTGGTTGCCAACCTCAGCTAGAGAGTCTAGTCTGCTCTACTATTAAATTTACCTCATAACTGAGGAGAGAATAGCTGGCTTCATCAGTGCTGGACTTACCTATAGGATAAATAAGTTACATCTTAGAGTCACAAACATTCTCGAGGTGGGCGGCTCATTTTTTAATATACAGGGTGATTGAAAAGTAACTCAATCTATGTATAATCGAACTATAATTTTTACAAGAGAGTCCATACATAAAATAGGGAGTTACGTTTCAATTACCCTTTATTTTTATTTTGTCATTAGTTTTTATGTTGGTTTTCTATCGCCATTTTTAAAATTAATTTTTTTACAAACAAAGATGTGTAAATTTACTATATGTTTCTTAAATTATATTTATTTATCCAAATAACTAACATTCGTCGTATTATTCGGGTGGCAGGAACGCGGCGATAGTCTGCAGAATGGCGTCAAATGTGTTGGACTCCATCGGGTAGTTACCTTCTCCGCATGAATTCGGCCAGAGAAGTCTCAAAATGGTGTCGTGCCTTTCCTCAGTAACGCTTGTTCCTCCGCTATGCTGATCCTCACGAACGTTCGATATTCTGAGTAAGGACTCCGATATCTGCATCAACGAAATTGTATTGATGATTAACCTTGAAATGCTGAAACCAGCCTCCTCCAGCTCAGTGCTCCCTAACCAGCTGTCAGAGGTAAAAAAAAAAAAAATATAGCGACATATAACCCACAAGTGCTGTTTTTATTCTTTAATGCTAAATCATCAAAAATGATATATAATCATACTTATTATAAAACCCATGTTGTGTGTGTGTGTTCGTTTATATATTGGATCGGATTTCCTACATTTTTCAACCAATTTCAACAAAACTTCACAGAACTACGTAAAATTACCTTGCGGTGGTTCTATCAGCGCCAAATATTGGAAAAACTATTGTTTTGTACAAAATCAATTTGAAAACACGGTTAAGAGGCATCGCTGTCGCGAGAATGAAAGGGGGACAACTCATATCGAGTTTTACTTATTATAAAACCCAGGTTGTTTGTGTGTGTGTGTGTGTGTGTGTGTGTGTGTGTGTGTGTGTGTGTGTGTGTGTGTGTGTGTTCGTTTATATATGGGATCGGATTTCCTACATTTTTCAACCGATTTCAACGAAACTTCACTTTTTTTGGCAGGTAGTGTTTCTTATTGACTTGCACACTTTTTTCTTTATTTTTATATTGAGAATGCTTTAAAAATTCCATTTACAAGACAATTGTTTATAATAAAATTCTATTCAATCGATAGACTCATAACGATTGAAAACAATGTTTTTGTTTGAGTTTGGGTTTGACCAATTCGTAAAAAAAAAAAAAAAAAAACTAATTAAGACATGTGTCCGTCAACCTTAAACAATAATCTTTGTCAATTTTATTTTTCAGTCTTTATGATGGTCGATACTTGATCTATCTCTTACTGTTACATCCCCAGGCAACGCTGGGATCTACTGCTAGTCATTAATAAACAAATGCCATCACGTTGAAATACCGGTTCCCGTACGATTACCGAAGTTAAGCAACGTCGAGCTTAGTTAGCACCTAGATAGGTTACCGCTTGAGAATACCAGGTACTGTAATATCGGATGTGCAGGTGGTATATGACTCGGAATTGTAAATCGATTAGGTTTGTTATATTCCCTTAGGTGCAATTACTCTTAGAAATGGTATGAATCCATCTCTTCTCCACCAGCTATGGGCTAATTAGTAAGATTTTTGTATCTCTAAATCATTATTATTATTGAAAAATATCTAAAAATATTTGTTGGCTTTAAATAACATGTAAAGAGTTGATAAGCCATAGAAAACGTATCGATGAATTCATTATTGAAAAATAATCATCTATAATTATTATAAAATTTTTTTAGAGAAGGGCTTCGGTAAATGAAAGTCAGGCCCTTGGATTAGTATCTTTTCCTAAAAGGTGCGAAAGTGAATAATACAAGGATTTTGACCGGAATCCGCAACCGGTCTCGTTGATTTTTCCTTCCGATATTCTAACAATTATACCACCGACACATCATTTAGCACATAAATACTCTCCTTTTTAGATACTCTCCTTTTTAAGTACTCTCCTTTTTTAAAAGTGTTTTATCCAAACGTTTATGTACTATAGAAACATAAAACTGATATCTAAATCCCCCTCGTTTCATTGTAAAAACATGACATTGACATTTAAGAATAGTTGTCTTTCATGTAACGACTGGATTAATGCGCCTTATTAATGAAAGATGAGATATTTCGTAAAAAGTACATTAACAAGCAAACAAAGTGAAAATGAAGAAACGCCCACTTGTTTTTGTTCTTTCTTTGTGATTGTGAATCTCAATTCAACGATAGGAAAAAAAAGTCTCAGCCTGTAAATAGATTAAATTTGTGTGTATTCAAGAAACGTGTCAGAACGCAGCCTGCATAGCTCAGTCGGTAGAGCATCAGACTTTTAAGAGCACTTACTTCAAGCAATCTGAGGGTCTGGGGTTCGAGTCCCCATGTAGGCTTTCTCTTTTTTTTATCGTCAATTTCTATTTTTTTTCATTACATTTATGAAAGATGAATTCTATTTTTCGTTTATTTCACAGCAAAAACATTTACACGGTATATAAAGATCTTCAGAAACCAGAACTGAAATGTAAAACTAGATCACTTTTTTTTGTATCTGTGGTGTTTTGAATTGAAATAAAGTCTTACGAAATGATGGTATTGTTGTTAAATGACCTCCTCAATGCTTAAATGAACTATAGCACTGTTCGTGATGAGTAATTTTCGGCGTAATCCAGCATCATTATAGCCACCGGAAAAATGTTAAACAGAGTTGGCAAATTTCTCACTTTGTGGAAATATTTTGGATTGTCTTACTATTCGCCATATTTATTAGAAACATTGGCAGATTTTTACAACTTTTTTGCCGAACTTTGATATGTAGCTGACTGTGGGGTGAAGATGTGAAGAACACACGTGAGTTAAAATTTCCTGCTAGCCAATCCAGCTACACGAGAATATTGGACTTTAATTAAAAGTTGCTGCCCGTGTACGATAAGCAACAATAAACTACAGAAGAACCCAAAATTGATCGCTGCATTTAATTATTGCATTAATATATAAGATTACCTTTTAAAAGTTCAATGATAATTCTTCTACCGTCACTTAATTTAAAGAGAATTTGATGTACGTAGGACCGTACTCTCCATACAAATAATTATTTTTATTTCATGGTCGACTTTCGCTGGATTTCGCAGTTAATTTTAATTATTTCCAAATTTATTTTCAAATTATAAAAATTGTTATCGTACAAAAAAATCGTCGCAAAAAAAAAAAAAATCACATAAAAAAATCGCCGAAAACAATTTCAGTAATAAAAAGTTGGGAATCCAAAATTTCAGGATTGCGGGTCCGAATCCAACTCGGAATGTTTTTAATTTGTTCACAGAGTCGTCTTGATTCCAAAATGGTATGATATGTTGGGCTACAACCTCTAGGAGTAAAGTTGAAAAAGTGACACACTGACATTCGCATTTATTTATATAGCTGATTCATTATTGTACATAATTAGTATTTGTATTTTATATGAAGTAGAAGTTGGGGTCAGTATTATAGACGTGAGAGAGCTGTATCATATTGGCGGGGGTATGAGACCCTGCATTTTGGTATCATTTAGAGACGTATCATAAATTCGAGGAGGCGTATCATAGATTCGGCGCGTAGGGACACCAACCAGCCGTGTCTAGTTGCACATTTTAATCCTCAGTTGAAGTTTACCAGAACTTGGTGAAAAGTTCAAACAGATTTTAACGAAAAGTGGGTGTATATCATACGTTTGTGTCATGAAAAAGGGGCTAATATGAGATGACTGTTTAGGAGGTTCTACTTTCCTGCGAAGCATTTCTGTCAAAGCCAGTTAAGTCAGTATATGTGTTATGTTTTACTTGAGTTATAATTAGTCTAACTTATCTGGGGAATATATGCTCATTTGACCCTGTAACAGGAGAGAGCTAGGAAAGAAAGATTTATTCTCCCGTTTTCATTCCCCCCCCCCTTATGTGCATTATTATATCAGTGATATAATAACGCCGGACTTCGCGGACGCAACGGAATGGCTGAATGGAAAAAAATGGCAAACATACTTTGTTCTCAGAGAGACTTTTATACAACCAAGACATATACAAACCCCCCCTCTCTCTCTCTCTATATATATATATATATATATATATATATATATATATATATATATATTGTGTATATTTAGGCAGCAATTTTTGATTAATGCATGTTTCATTAAATAATATACACGAGTTAGTCGTTGCTTTGAAATTTTTCATGCAACAAAAACAGACTATCATTATTGTTTCGTCCGTGTATTGGTTGTCGGAGTTATCTCCTCCTTAGTTCCTTAACCCTTCAACAGGGGAATCTCTCCCCTGTCTATAAATACTCGCTGACCCTTCGCCTCGACCTCTTTTTTTTCCTTAGGCCTTTGGGTAGCCACCTTGAGGTAAATCTCTCTTTTTTCCTCAGGCTTTCAGCCTTACCACCTCGCAGATGTGAACGCTCACAGATACAGCGTTTCCCAAATGCTGGGAACACGCTAAGAACAATACACGTACGTACGAACATCAACAACACACAGATATTCACCCCACGCTCTCTGTCCATGTAACTTGTAACCTTTCTTGTTGTTATTAATACATATATTTGTTTACATATATTTATCGGTCTTGTGTTTGTTTTTTCTTTGCCTTCTTTGGACTTTGAAAGTCCAACTTTCTCATGTAGTTGGACCGGCTAGCAGGAAATTTCTAACCCACATGTGTTCTTCTACTTCTACTCAACAGCATCGCCGATACGGTCCGCTACATGGTTGATATATTGAAAAGTAATTGTCATCTTTGATAATGACTTATGCAAGCTAAAGGCTTAGATTGGATTTAAACATGTAGCAATATGGTGATTTCCTTTCGTCTTTCAATGATAATGTTATTAAGCTTATCAGACAATATGAATGGAACTTACTTAAAATAAATGCACAAAACTTGTCTATATTATTTAATGAAACATGCATTAATATATATATATATATATATATATGTGTGTGTGTGTGTGTGTGTGTGTCACGCTGAGAATAATATATCGCATAGACAGCAAAGAGAAACAAAAAGAATGGGTCTTACATATAATATAGAGATACTCCTGCGTCTGGAGAAAAAATATTTATGACTTCACATTCAAACTGGCTAGACATATTCCACGAACGGGAAACAGTGAGTCTTTAGGTTTTCTCAAATTGAGAACAGCAAGCTGGAGTTTCTTTCTATGTATGGGAATGATATATTTCAAAATGTAAACGGCACCATGGACTCGTAAGCTGCTGGGGGTGGGGGGAGGTTTAGATTTAGCCTCGATTCGGGCCATGTGGGCCCGGGATAAAGAAAGCAACCTTTTCGTTTGGCTGCTGTAAACAACTAAATTTGACTGCCGCTTTCGTAACTGTATGAAGTGACGCCAATAAGCGGTCCGCCACGTGAGCCATGTGATTTATCTCCACCAACTTTACAACCCTTTTAATTTTTTTTCGTTCCCCACATTTCTGTTTTACAAAACCTCACCTCACTGTTGGAATGGCAAGATACAAAGTTCTGACGATGCTTTCGCTTCATTGTTTTTTAAACTCTTAATTAATTTTTTTTTAAAGAATTTTACCGCCGATCCCACAAGGTATAACATTCTACAGTCAAGATTGTATTAATTTATTTCTATTTCACGGAACAAATACCTCAAAGTTTCAGTCTGTCTTGTATTTTTCGGTACCACCCTAGCGTGTGATCTACACGCCGAATGAGATCTATATCACAGATCTATTTATAAGGAAAAAACATTTTCAAAATCATTTATCGGCCAGATGTCATTTTTAACTCATTAAAAATTTAAATTTAAAAATATAAATTAAATAACCTGCCAACAGTTGATAGGCCATAGAAATGAATGTGGATATATTTGGACATTCTTACCCAATGGAAATATTGCGACGTTATTATCCAATTTCTAATAATAGGAATATTTCGACATGATTATCCAATGGAAATCTTTCAAAGGAGGGAATGTAGGAAAACACAATTAACTCTTAGTGCGCGACGAAAATTTTTTAATGTTATTTGCTCTATCGGACGCAGAAAAATTTTTCGAAAACATTTATTTTTGACGGAGAGATATTTTTTGAAACCATTTTTTTTTCTTTATGGAGAGTAAGTAAAAGTCATTAATCGGGCTCGTCCGGGATTTGAACCCGGGACCTCTCGCACCCTAAGCGAGAATCATACCCCTAGACCAACGAGCCAATTACTTCGTTTCGAGACTAACTGAACTCAATTTAAAGCGGAGTTATTCTGTTATTACCAAACTGAATAATAGTGTTATAATTCACTTCCACGTTAAATTTAGTTTAACGGGGAAATGAAGAGACGCCTAAGACAAGCAAATGGCTCCTAGTTTGTCGGGTGCAAGGAGTTCTGGGTGAGCTCTATAAAACAATTTTTCGTTAATGTACTTTACGCGTATATTCTGTCATTTTCATCGATAGTTTATTGTC